ATCAAAACATTCCAGGATAAACAGAAGCTAAGGATAAACAAAGTAATCCACTACAATTTGATGAACTTGACCTATGCTTGTTGATGCAGTAGGTCAAAGGAGGAACCAAATCTTTACAGCGAGGATCACTGCCACTCCCTTGGTACACAGGGTCGACAAGGATGGGCAACTTAGGCACTGGCTACCCACAATGGAGGGGCTACAAAGGCAAGAAGTGACTGGCTTATAAGCTTTCAATAGGGAACCTAGTTCCAGAGAGTACGGGGAAAGGTAGAATCTCCACTGAGTGGTTTCCAACCTGTTGGGACGGGGTTGATAAAAGGGGATGGGGATAAGACTCTTGTGGTTCAATAGGGAATGATTGCTATCAGGACTGTGAGTGTTGGAAAGGTAAAGGTAGACGTTTTGTAACAAAAGGAAGGGAGTGGTAGATTCTGCAGTACAGGGGTAGAGTTCCCTGGAACCATCAAGGGAGAAAAGCAAAGTGCGGGACCCTATCCAGAGAAGCAGTGACGCCAAAGATGGAGGCAGAGACAATGACATGGAGAGATGGAGTGGCTGGAGACTTTACACTCAGGGAGGGAGAGGGGCTTTGTACTGACGGCCAGGGGGCAGGCTTGAGGGGTGTACCCTTTGGTTGTTTGATGATGCATGCAGGAGATTGTAATCATTACAATGAAGCAAAATATAAGATGAATGTAAAGCTAATGTTCTCCCATATAAACTATCACATAACTCACAATAAAAACTTAAGAAAAAAAAGGATAGAACCCCGCGCACACTGATTTTACATCATTCCGTATGCACTGGTTCTGTTTGAATACCTGCCTCCTGATCTATGTACAAGTTCCTAATGAGCACAATAAAGAGTTCTGGAATACCCATTCTTTGCAATATATGTAACTAGTCATGACCCACACAATCTAGTCTTTGCATAATCAATTAAACACAGGTAAATATCTTTCTGGTATTCTCTACTTTCAGCCAAGCTCCATTTGACGTCGTCATCAATGATATCTCTAGTTCCACGTCCTCTTCTGAATCTGGCTTGAACTTCTGGCAGTTCTCTTGTCAGTGTCCTGTTGCAGTCATTTTGGAATTCTCTTCAGCAAATTTTACTTGCATGTGCTATTAATGATATTGTTCAATGATTTCTGCATTCTATTGGTACACCTCTCATTGGAATGGGCACAGATATGGATCTCTTCAAGTCAGTTTACAGGTAACTGTCTTCCAAATTTCTTGGCAGAGATGAGTGAGTGCTTCTAAGTTATGCAATAGTTTGTGGAAAGATTTGAATTTGTATTCCATCAATTCCTGGAGCCTTGTTTTTAGTTAATACACTCAGTGCAGCTTGGACTTCTTCCCTCAGTACCATTGGTTTTGGTTTTTGATCATATACTACCTCTTGAATGGTTGAATATCGACCTTTTTTTTTTTTTTTTTGGTACAGTGACTCTGTGGATTCCTTCCATTTTCTTCTGATGCTTTCTGCATTTGTCAGTATTTTGCCCATGGAATCCTTGAATATTTGCAAGTCGAAGCTAGAATTTTTTTTCCCAGTTCTTTCAGCTTGTGAAATGCTGAGCTTGTTCTTCCCTTTTGGTTTCCTTACTTCAGGTCTTGGCACTTTTCATTAGAATACTTGACTTTGTCTTCTTGAGCTCCCCTTTGCAATTTTCTATTCAGCTCTTTTACCTCCTCATTTCTTCCATTTGCTTTAGCAAGTTTCAGAGTATCTCTGACATCCATTTTGGTCTTTTCCCTCATCTTAATGACCTTTTACTTTCTTCCTGTATAATGTTCTTGATCCCACAGTTCTTCTGGTCTTCGATCATTAGTGTCTAATGTATTAAATTTGTTACTGAGATGGTATCTAAATTTAGGTGGGATATGGTCAAGTTCATATTCTGGCTCTCTTTGACTTGTTTTAGTTTTCTTCAGCTTCATCCTGAACTTGCAAATCAGCAATTAATGGTCTGTTCCACAAGTCTCAGCTGATGATACTAAATTTTTCTACCATCTCTTCCTATGGTGGTGGTGGTGGTTGTGTGCCATGGAGTCGACTCCGACTCATAGTGACCCTGTACAGGGTTTCCAAGGCTGTAAATCTTTATGGGAGCAGAGACCTCATCTTTCTCCCACGGAACAGCTAGTAGTTTCGAACTGCTGACTCTGATGTTAGCAGCCCGATCTGTAACCACTATGCTACCAGAGCTCCTTCCCTTCCTATCTATAAATGCAGTCAATTTGGTTCCTGTGTATTCCATCTGGTAAGGTCCATGTTTATAACTGTCTTTTGTGTTGTTTTAAAAAAGGTATTTGCAACGAGTAAGTCATTTGTCTTGCAAAATTCTATCATGCAATCTCCAACATCATTTGTTTCATCAAGACCACATTTTTCAACTAGCTACTGGTTTCTTT